ATAAACAGAGGCTGTAGGAGTTAAACATCTGGAAATTATTTAAACTACAACAAAATCACATCCAATAATAATCCTACTGCACCAGTGATTTAGAGCTGAATCCGTCATGCAGCAGACAGAGACGTGCAGAGGAAGAGCTGACTGTAGATCAGAACTGATGCAGACACTATTCAGGAGTAATGAGAGCACAAACACACCAGACTCTGACCACACTGCAAATCTGAATGAAGACACACACACAGGGTCGCACGCACACATGGCCACATGCATGCACGGTCACACACACATGGCTGCACTCGGGGTCACAAGCACGCACACGCAGCTGCATGCACACACAGCCACACACACACACGCGCATGGCTGCTTGCACGCACAGCCACACACATGGTCAAATGCATGCACAGCCGCACGCACAGTCGCACGTACATGGCTGAATGCACAGTCGCACGCACACATGGCCGCAGTCACAGTTGCGCACACATGGTTGCACACACGATCACATGCCCAGTTGCACACACACGCATGCGTGTATGCACACACGTCTCGCACACACGGTCACATGCACATATGCACAGTTGCACACACATGCATGTGCACACACGCACACCTGCACAGCTCGGGCGCAAGCACACACAGCCACACGCACATGGTCATACTTAAGGTCGCAGTCACGCACACATGGCCGCACGCACAGTCACACGCACACGGCCGCACACACACATGGATGTATGCACATACACACGGCCACACACACGGCCAAATGGCCAGTTGCATGCACACATGGCCACACACAAAGTTGCACGAACATATAAGCGCACACACGGCCAAAAGCAAAGTCGCGCGCACACACACACAGCCGCACGCACGGGCGCTAGCACACGGCCAAACACAGTTGCACACAGCTGTACGCACAGGCGCTTACACACGCGCACACACACACACACACACACACACACACACACACAGCCGCACGCACATGGTCATACTTAAGGTCGCAGTCACGCACACATGGCCGCACGCACAGTCACACGCACACAGCCGCACACACACATGGCTGTATGCACATACACACGGCCACACACAAAGTTGCACGAACATATGAGCGCACACACGGCCAAAAGCAAAGTCGCGCGCACACACACACAGCCGCACGCACGGGCGCTTGCACACAACCAAACACAGTTGCACACAGCTGTACGCACAGGCGCTACACACACACACAC